TATGATATCACATCGAAGACAGAGAAACCGCATGCCGTTGCTGACACGCGACTTGGGAAAGCAAACGATTAATTACACCATTCCCTTGATGAGACCGCATTCAATGCGGTAAGGCTCGGAAATGAAAGGCAATAAATGCTCCTAATACAGAGCATTTATTGCATCCTCCCCGAGAGGAGTACATTGTACCGTCGGCATCCCGATGACGCAGCATTGATTGCTCGGGACCCCGAGCAGTTAAGAAGAGAAGACATTCCTCATCAGAATCAGTGCGCACACTGCCTGTACCTAATGATCACCTACTGACTACACTGACAGCAATCATGAGCTTTTGAGGTATAAATACTCCTTGCAAAAGGCAAGACGGTATGAAACAAAAAACTCTTTACTACAATACACACTCAGTGTTTTCTTCTTCCTCTCTCTCTTTCAAAAACTGACTAGATCGTCGGAGGGGATACGCTGGAAAACACTCCGGCGCCCTTCTAACTTGTTCTTCTTTGTTCCAGGAACCTCTCTTCAGCCTTACTGGATCGTTCTTCCGCTCCCCCAGGGTCTCCCGTTGCCGTTCCAGGTTACCATCGGACCTTGCAGGCTGTTCCAAGCAGTGTGGTTGGTCACTCAACTGACTCATTCGAGTTCACCAAGGGAGAGATCTGTTCTTATTTTTATATTGTGCAGGATCGTGCACGCACAAAAACTATGGAAAGAAGTCACCTTATATTAGTAATTCGAGCAAGGAAAACACTTTATCTAAGACATTTCAACAAACAACTTATGTGCATACGAAGAGAATGTGGATGGTGACAGGGGCTAGAGGAAATTGACAAAGAGAGAGGCAAGGGGATGAGTAGATGGTGAGGGAAGGAAGAGATACTTGGTGTCATTGGCGTGGTAGTCGCTACAGGGTGTCAATAGTGATGGCTTCGTTGTGGTGGTTAACACATAAAAACATAGCTTTCCAATGACCAAGACCACACCCATTTTGTCAGTGTTGGTCTATTTGTTTCACTCACCAAGCCACATCAATACTTTCCCATTGTTGATGTTGATAAGTATTGAGTGTTGTTAGCCTAGGCTGAATTACAAAGAATTGTGAACTGAGCTTCAAGATCCTTGATAACTTCAGCCATGCAATTGCGTAATGACGAATGGAATTGTCGACTTTTCGAGCAAACAAAAAAAATAGCAAATCAATAATCCCAATTTTACGTTTGGATGGCTAATCTCAAAATTAAATTCAAGAAATTCCAAACCATACATTATCTATGTTCACGGTAAATGCATCAAAGGGACAAAATAGCAAATCGAATAACTGTACTATGAGATGCGTCAAAGGGCCATGAGGGAGCTGTTACGGTGAGCACTATAGGCTTAGATGAAGGAGGTCCATATGATTAGTCCTTTGAGGCATTTGGTTGAACCACTGGTGAGCGTGACAATACTGAAGACTTTTTAATACAAAATGGGAAGCTCACTTGGAGGGCCATAACTACAAAGATTTAATTTCTCTTCCTTTCGGGACTTGAGTTCGTCGGCGAACCATTTCGAGTTCGTTAGCAATGGAGAGCGCAACTAGGCGATTGCTCTTGCTTATTTAAGCCAAACGTATCTAAAATCAACGAATGAAAAATTCAAAAAATAAGGCAAAACACCATTAGTTGCATATATTATCAAACGAGTCAGATGCAAAAAAGCTAATAAAACAATATTAAAAAATGATGCAAATTTTGGTTGTGCACAAAATGTAATTGTTAGAAACAACCACAAAAACCCATAGGAAGTGACGAATAGGATATTACAACATAAGCAGTGGTTAGAAAGAAATAAGTATAAATCAAAATCAAACAACTAGATTTGAATTATATACAACATTAAATTGAAGGCAAGTGAGAGAGAAAGATAGACAAATAAATAGATAGAGAGAGAGAGAGGCAGAGAAGGGGATAACTGGTGGTTGGCATCACTGTGTTGGCGACGTCACTGGTGGTAGATGATGTCTCAATCAAAGAGATGAATGAAAGTGGTTTGAGAGTAGCAAATGAAGAAATAGGGGAGTATTTTGGGGAAGAGAGGAGGAGAGAGAAGTCAGAAGATGGGTCAAGGGAAGATCAATATATGAACATTAATAACATTGATGACTTGAGATAGGAATAGCTTAAAAAGGAGATTCGGAGAAGGAGAGGGGATTTGGGCGTGATTAGGGGAGTCAGAGGACGTGATTTTGGGGGAGTTAAACATAGAAACTGCGGTGAGCGGGAAAAATATTTTCATTAATTAATCTGGTGCGTTGGATCAGAAATTTTGAGACTATCTGAGACGTTAATAACTCAAGACAGTTTGAGATAATGTCATCTGTTGGATGATGTCTTTTTTGATCACAAAACAATCTGAACCACTATTTGTCTCCAAAATTTAAAATCGTTCTATTTTATTATATAAATAGTTTTTATAAATTTTTTTAATTGACTATATTACCTTAAAATAATGCATCAATATATTTTCAATAAAATATTCAAAAAACTTTCAAAAATTTCATCTATCTAATATTACTCATCATCTCACATAAAAAGATATAAAACCAAAAAATTAGAAGTGGGGGTAATGTCCTGTATTGAAATTTGAAAGCAATGCAGGACATTACCTCCAGTTGACAAGCTGAAGAGAATATGTGATATCATTCCTATTTTGAATCAGGCACCCAAATATGTCACCTAAAAAAAAAAATCTTGCTCAAGAAAAGATAAAAAGCCAAAGCGAGATATGACAAACGCAGCTAGATATGTGGCCTGGAAACACATCATCAAAATAGATTTTGGGTGGACTCTGCAAAAATCTGAACAGACAACTCCACCATCCTCTCCCAAAAATTGATTATCTTGCCTACTACTATTCTCCAATCATCATTGTCATTACTCCTCATTATTCAAATTTTGGCTAAATCATTTGCCATCCATTCCATCTATTGCTAAACTCCTCTAAAATATACGCTACACTAGACTTATATGTAGATAATCCAAATTCTCACATAGCGTAAACGGCCTAAAAAAGAAACGGAATTTAACCATATAAATCAAAACCACGAAGGAGATATCAGAAATTAATAGACAAAAAAAGAACCCAACTAAGACTAAATCAACCTCAATAATAATATAGATTAAACAATCTTCAGTTATATGCATAAACACATTTAAAGTTAGTTAATAAACCAAGGCAATAACTCACCAATATTGAAGACAATACCAATTATATCACAAAAATAAAGCTAGTTAGACAAAAGCCAAACCAAAAGAGCAAAAAAAAAAAAAAAAACCCTTAACAATCCAGCAAAATACACGAAAAAAAACTCAAAATTCCACCAATCCAATCAAGCCAATTAACCAAAAAAAATCAACTACTCACTTCATCACAAATTTTGTGAGATCTTTAGTATAAAAAATAAATTATTGATTAGTGATCATTATAAACAACCAGAAAATTGTTCTTGTTCTTAGAAAATTCATATCCATATGATCAAGTGGAAGCTTTTGACCAAACACAGCCTCCCCACCTACTTTATTTTTAAATTGAGTTTTAAACTTATTTTTTAAACCCAATCTATTTTTAAAAATAACATTTAGAATGATGTTTTCCTGAGTTAAAACGTTATTTGAAATGTCTTTAAAAACATTATTCAAAATGACAAGATGAATTAAAAACGACAAATAAATTGTGAGGTATAAAACATCATTTGAATTGACGTTTTTAAAAACATCGTTCCAAACGACATTTCCTCTCCCTTCCTTGCCGGTCCCAACTCTGTGTTACAAGCGTCGGTCAAAGAATCTAAGACCCATCTCCTCCTTTAGACCCCTGAACCCTATCTCACACCCAGCAAGTTCTCTTCGGATCCAAGCTCACCGGATATTCCAAGCAAAAACATTCGTATGAAGTTCTAAAGCTGTGCAGAAATATGCAAAACGAGTTCCATGGGGTCGATAGCTTCAATTTAGTGTTTGCGATTAAAGCTTGCGTTGGTTTATCGCTTTTGCTAGATGGAAAATCAGTTCACTGCTTGGTCTTTAACATGGGTTGGAAAGAGACCCGTATATCGTGCCTGTGCTTATAAATATGTATACTGGGTTGGGATGTTTTGATGATGCAGAGAAAGAGCTTGAGTTTATTCCCGAGAGGAATGTTGTTATTTGGGGTGCCATGATGAAAGTGCACTTGAAATTTTCAAACGAATTTAAAGTTTTTGAGTTGTTTTCCGAAATGAGAAGTTCCGGTTTTGAATTGGATCCATTTACGTTCGAGAATTTGATTCGGGCGTGTGGGAATGTTTCTGCTGGTAAAGAAGGGAGAGCATGTCATGGGTTTTGTGTAAAGCGAAATTTCATTGATTATAGCATGCGTTTGAAGGCATCACTTGTGGATATGTATATCAAGTGTGGTTTAGCTGTAAAATTGTTTATCGAAATACCTGAAAAGGATGTAGTTTTGTGGACTGTGATGGTTGCTGGGTGTGCAAAAAATGGTAAGAGTTTGGAAAGCATTTGGCTTGTTCAGCAGATATTTGAAGATTTTGCAACTCCAAATTCAGTCAAATTATTTGGCATTCTTTTTGCTTTGATTGACGCTTATAGCACAAAGTTGGGGCTGGAGAGAAACGTCATTTCCTGGTGACGTTTTCTACCCACAATTTTTCTAATGCTTGTTATGTTTACTGTTTTCAATTCATTTTATTCAACGTTATTTTGAATGACGTCTTAAAAATGTTATTAATAATGATGATTTTAATAAGAAAATTTTAATTTAAAATTGTCATTTCAAATGACGTTTTAACTCATGAAACCGTCATTCCAAAAGACGTTTATAAAAATAGACTGAATTTAAAAATTAAGTTTAAAACAGACTAAATTTAAGAATAAAGTAAGTGAGGAGGCTGAGTTTGACCAAAAACTTGATCAAGTAGTGATCAATAACGACTTCGGTCACACAGATTTCCACACCGTAGGGGTGGAAATTTTATCATCGTCCAAGTGGTTGTGTTCTAGCGGATTCGAGTCCTATCATCCTTAATTAGTAAGCATCAAATTATAATCCGCAAAAACGAACAAAAGAGTAGAAATTAATTAAAAAGTCCTGCAACCAAAAAATAATAAAACCAAAAGTCCCACATTGAACTAAAGATCAAAAAATATAAAATTAGAAAAGTCAACCAATGGAACCAAATCCGTGTGTGTGTGTTGTGGGTCTGTGGGGTGGTGTTCAGTGGTGGCGTTGATGGGGATGGGATTGGTGTGTGTGTGTAAGTGTGTTTGTTGATGGGGAGGGATGTGAAGAGAGTGGAGGAAACAAAGAAAAACAGAGAGATGGGGAGGGTATATGAGGTAGCAGAGATGGGGTAGGAAGACGATGGAATATTTTTTCAGGATTAAGGGAGTTAGTGGGGAGAGACGAGAGAAAACCAACGTGAGAGAGAAGAGTGAGGGAGAGAGTTTTGTGGGGGAGATATGGGTATGGGAGTATAGGATTAGATTTGGAGTAGGTATGGGAGTATAGGATTAGATTTGGAGTAGGTAGTCCGTGTATGGAAAGGGAGGGGCTTGTAGTGGAGTTTAAGGAAGAGAATAAAAAACGGACAGAAAGATATGCCGTGATTGAGGAGATTCAAAAAATAGAATTTTATGGGTGGCAAACATTCACAAGTGACCATCACAAGGGATGAATTGAAACCAAGTGAGGCACAGCATATTGCAATATTATTTAAAAATAGTGCCTCACGCCCCCACCCAAACTCAGTTTTTTTTTTCTTAGAGCAACTCTAAAGGAAGGTGTATCAAGGGTGGCATATGAGTTTAAAAATTTTCACTCCAAGAGGGTGGTATGAAGAGTTGGAAATAACATCAAACATCTTAGGGTGACATTTTTTGTATAATAATGTTGTACTGACCAAATTTTTAAACCAAATTAAAAGTTCAAATGACATGACAGTTGAGTTGAACTTTTTTATTTTATATCATGTCATTTGGGCCCCAATAAAGACTCCAAATAATTAGTTGTCATGTCATTTTGACTCTTTATTTGATTTAAAATTTTGGTCAATGTAACATTATTGTTTTTTGTAACTCTAGAGAGAGAAAAAAAGATGTTGTAAATGGGTTGATGAATATAGATCTAATGATTCATATAGATTGATGAATAAAAATATGAAAATGACATCCCATTTTGACACTTGTCATTAAAACAGATTTATAATTCAAGAATACCAAAATACTATTCAAAATTACAAATAAATGATTTGACACCAAAAAATGACAACTCTCTCTCGAGTTGCTCTTATTCAAAACCCAATTTATTACATGAAATTCAAAGCTCTGTTTTTTTTTACATGATTTTGGTGGATTGCACATGATTTTGGTGGATTTCGGTAGATGTTTAACCAAAAAATCTCGGCCAGGCAATCTGTCGAACATCTCATGTGCACGGAACAGCAAGAGGGGCTTTCGGGTGACAGAGTGAAAAAGAAAAGAGGGAGATGAGATGTATGAGAGATATGTGATGAGATGCCTGGATTGCTGCTGGCTGTAATCGGCGGTGGCGGTGGCTGTTCAAACTACCAACTGAAAAAAGGACAACCAAGCAAAACGCAATCAATTATCAACTAACACAATCCATTTTTTTCCAAACAAACACCAAGCATAACCCAAATTCCAAATACAAGAAGGATATTTACTGGAACCATAAACCAAATTCGTAGCATTCAATCATTCAAATACAAATACATACAACCATGCATCAAATACATAACACACATACTGATGGGACATTTCTAAATACTTCAAGATGAAGACACGTGTCTCTCGGCATCAGTAAATTCTTATTACTGTAATCACGACACGTACTCGTCAGATCACAAGTCCCTCTTCCCCCGAGGTATTGTTCATAGGGATCAATGACACCCAATACGTTTACGTACCGACACGTATTCCTCGGGCGGATATGGGGTACATCGGTTCCTACATGTACCACTCCCCTCGGTACCGAGATATACCCGTCCAGGATGTCGTTCTCTGCTCCTGTAGAGGCTATTGATGTACAGGTCGCTAGCCTATGCTAGACTAGGTTAGTCATCATGACCTCGTCTTACACAATTGGTGTCAGAAGGCACAGAAAGACAGAAGACATAACCAATGGAGAATGGGCGCCTGGCATATTGTATCACATCAGAGACAAAAAGTCCTGATGCCCTTGCTGACACACGACTTGGGAAAACAAACATTTAATTAGACTATTCCGTTGATGAGACAACATTTAATGCGATAAGGCTCGGAAGAGAATGATAATAAATGTCTCTGAGACTGGGCATTTATTACACCCTTGTCGAGAGGAGCTCATTAAACATTCAGCAGGCCGATGACGCAGCATTGGTTGCTCGGGGTCCCGAGCAATTAAGAGAGAAGACATTCCTCATAGGAATCAGTGTGCACATTGCCCGTATCTAATGATCACCTACTGACCACACTGACAGCAATCATGAGTTTTTGAGGTATAAATACTCCTCGCAAAAGGCAAGACGGTATGCAACAGAAAAACTTTTTCTCAAATCTATACTCTGTGTTTTCTTCTTCCCTTTTCTCAAAAACTGACTTGATCGTCGGAGGGGATACGCCGAAAAACACTCTGGCGCCCTTCTAACTTGTCTTTCTCTGTTTCAGGAACATCCCTCAGCCTCACTGGACCGCTCCTTTGATCCACGAAAGTCACTCATTATCTTTTCAGGCCACCAACGGATCTCAGCCCGCTCCAAATAACTTGGGTGACCGTTTGATTGACTGACTCGAGTTCACCACGGGAGAGATCTGTTCTCGTGTTTATATTGTGCAAGATCCTGCACGCACACATACATACAATGTTTCATAATATGTTATTGGATTCGAACCCAAATACACGGTTATTCAAGTGAAATCAAACTTTTTGAATAATAGAGTGGGAGAGAGAGTGAAGACACACACACACACAATGCTCAGAGAAACATACACACGCACACACAGAGAAAAGAGAGAAATCATACCCATAAAATATGCAGGAAGAGGGATGGAAGATGTAGATGGAAAAAAGAGAAAGCACTGGGCAGTGATCGCTGGCACGTTGCCGTCAGCGGTCTCTATAAGACAGAGGTAGACAGTGAGCGAAAAGAATGTTTGGAGAAGCATAGAGAGAGGGGAAACAAAATTTGGGGAAACAAAGTTGAGGTGGTGTATATACGGCTAAGGCGGTGAATGAAGCGTGCAGAAGGATTTGGCGCAAAACATGGGATTTGAAATTCTGTCCAGTTGGCGTGAGAGATTTAATCGCTGTTGAGTGAGAGAAGGGAAGATCATCACTGATTTGGATTGCCGGTGAGTTCGAATGGGCGAGAGAGGCAGAGTTGGGGAGTGAGAGATAGCTTATTTAGGATTTGATTGGGTAGTCAATTTTGAAAATTAAAAATTTTGAGGGAAATTTTTTTTTAAAAAAATAATATAACACGTCGGATCAATCTTAGATGTCAATATCTTAAGCTAGTGGAATAATGTTATTCGTTAGATGATGTCTTTTTTTGAATTGAGTTGGGGAAGATGTCATTGTTCTTTGTCTCTAAAATTCAAAACTTATTTTACTTTATTATAAAGTTAGTGTCCATGACCGAAGACACTATATAATACAACAAATTGTTAAGGTAAAAAAAAAAAATAAACCTCCTCAGAGTTGAAATTTATTTGAACCATTTATTTTCTTATAAAATTAGGCAAAATTTCCTTAAAAAACATAACCCAAAATTATAGAACTCGTCATCATGTCACAATCCTACCTTAATTCAATCATTTAGCAATCTCTCAACATATAATCCAACAAAATTAACACAAAAATATAGTTCAATGTTATATTCCAAAATCCAATCCAACCAAGTTAAGAATACCTATGATTAGGAATATTTATAAGTAAGCTCTATGCCAATGAATTTTTGGCAACATGGTAAGAAAGAAATACAAAAAAGAAAAATACCTTATTAAAAGTGATGTCACAAATGTTGCATTGTATTTAGTATTATTTTCTAATGAAAAGAATCCCATCTGTCCACAAGAACTCTGTGCTATTCTTCATGGTCTCTTCTCTTTGCATCAAATGGGAGTTCATTTTCCTAACATTTGTGGCTCTGCTAAGAAGAATATCTAGTTTGAATATGGAATACCATTACAATAGTTATAGAAAAATGATTCATTGCTAATTCACAAATCAAAATCATCCAATTCAAAAGAACCAAAAGATAATCTCATAAATGTAAGACCAACATTGAAAGAGATGAGGCAACCCATGTAATGTGATCACCTTAAAATCAAACCACAAATGTAGAAGCCAACATTCTCTCCATTCCTCTCTATCTTTGTCTATATCAAATCCTAAACCATAAAATAATTTTTTTTGGGCATAACCAAACTATAAACTGAAAATAAGACATTTAAACAAAAAGAACTAAATTAGAAAAAAAAGAGGAAAAACTTGAAACTAAATATATTGGAAAAGAGCAGAAAAGATGAATATGAAACAAAAATACCCAATCATAAGGATGAACAAACCAATCCGAAATAGAAGTAATTAAGAATATTTCAATTACTTATTGTGCAACATATCCAAAATTG